TGGTGAAAAGGTATCACGACACATTGTGGGGTAACCCCTCTTGAATTCGGGGTTCTGTTCTGTGTTATTCTCAGTTCGATTCTGGGGCTGGTCACATCTTTTTTAGTCCTTCATTCAGGTTTACCAAACTTTTTTTTTTTTTTTTGCCTCAGGTTTGTTTCACGTGCGGACCTTCCAAGTCCAGTCCCACCACCGATGGGTGCTGAAAGGCAGGAGACAACCGCTCGCAGCTATTCGGCTGTAAGACACATTCAAAGCGTGCAGCAGCGCCCGTCGCCGACGGTTGACGTACGACAAGCAAGCGACATGACAGTCGCGGCATGAGAAAACAAAGTCCCGCTGCGAGCGGAGGTAGCGGCCACGAGCCAAGTGCCGAGAATCGCGCGAGCAGCGCCACCGCCGCCGATGCAGGCAGCCCGCTGCCAAGGCTGGCATTATACGTGCGGGTGTGGCTCATCTTTCTCAAAAAGAGCCTGCCGGGTCTGGTGGCAAGCCTGATCCTTGCGGTACTGATCGTCGTCAAGCCCGTGTCCGCTTGGACCGGAGAGTATAGCTTTTTGAGCTTTCCGTTTCTACATCTTTTCTTCTACCCAGCACCGGCCACCGTTGGCGCCCATCTCGAGACGACCATCCTAGGCGTCATCGGCGTCTCGATCGGGCTCGGCATCTCCTTTCTCGCCGTCGCTGGCGCGGTCTGGCTCGACGATGATACGCCAGGTAGCTCCCCGTACCGCACACCCGAGTCGAGGGCTGTAGGCGCAATTGTCCTCGTCGCACTCACGTTCGTCGGCGCATACATCTCCAGCCGGGCGCCGCGTCTAAAGCAGGCGACCAGGATATGCCTTTTTGTTGCCGTGTGGGTCTTGACAACGGGCGCAACGGTCGTCCAGGCGTCCATATTTCTTTCCTTTCTTTGGCCAGCCGTGTATGCCGCTTTGGCCAGCTTGTTCGCCAATGTGCTTGTCTTTCCACGCACCAGCAACCAAGCCATCGCTCGCTTGCTCATCCAGCATGTCGTCACTTTGCAGTCGATTGTGGACCGCAGTACGCAAGACTTTTTTCAAAGCGCTCACGTACACGCCGCTTCCGCTCCCTTGCAGGAGCTTTGCCGTGACCTGCTTGGTTCTCTGAGGGAGATGCGGAAACTGTTCCACGAGTCAACGTATGAGCTGAGCGTGTCCCGAATGTCTACCCGTGACTGGAAGCCGCTTATGTCCAACTTTTGGCGCCTCCGAGGCTGGATCGCTTGCGGCATGGGCCTCGAATGGGAAAAGCAAACCGCCCAGCGCGAAACAGATAGCGCTCCGCACGAGGCAGGCGACGTAAGCGACAAGCAACACTGCCAACACTTCGAAACGACAATTAAGACGCTTGCGCGACAAATCGGCGCATCACTCGATGTGGTGCGCATGACGATCGACCTCACACTTGGCGCCCGCTCGGAACCCTCGGGTACCTCGTCAACGACAGCCCTCCGTGCGACATTGTTCGCCACTTTGATGGGCGCGCCCGCTAGCCAAGAAAGTAACGGTCTGGATCGGATCGTGCTGCTGCAGCGCAAGCGCCTTCGCACTGCCGTTGAGCAATTTCGAGACGAGCTCGACAGCGCGCTCGGGCGGTACGAGGCGTTCGCTGAACCCGTGGCGGAGACTGGCCAAGAAGCTGCTCCTAGTACAACCGTGTCCGACCTCTTTGACGCGGAAATGTACGCCGTCGCCTTTTTGATGGTGAGCCTTTTGGAGATTGCCAACGAGTGTACTTCTTTGCTCGTCACGTCGCAGCAGCTGCTCCGCACATGGCACATGCACCCTCGCCGCACGGTCCACTCTCCCGCCGTGCACTGGCGAGAGTGGTTTGGAAACGGCCAAGACCAGGCGGGCGACCTCCTCGCCCAGCTCGAAACAGACGAGCTGTTGCTCTCAAAAGTCCCCTCCAAAGAGCAGGACGACGAGCTGGACGCCTTCTTCAGACACCAGCACCACCCTGTGCGAGACAAAGAGGCCCAGCTTGCGCGCGCAGACCTCGACCGCGACGGCCGCAAGCACGTCTGGGCTTCCTGGACTCGGTCGCGGGCGATGCTCCATCTTCGCTACCGCTTGTCGCGCGCCCTTGGAGCAGCAGAGCGAAGCCGTCACATCAAGTACGCTATCAAGCTGGCCTCCGGGGTCGCTCTTCTCAGTTTGCCGGCTTGGATGACCGGTCAGAACGGTCGCGAATGGTTCGACGCGAGTCGCGGACAGTGTGAGTCTGCATGGAACAGCGCCGAGCGGAATGTTAACATCCCCCCTTTGCTCGTCAGGGCTCGTTATTTCCTACGTGTGGTGCCTCGAGACCTCGACCGCCGCGACGTTTACCGTCTCGGCGTATCGAATGATCGGCACCGCGTCGGGAGCCATCTCGGGCGTGATCATCTGGGAAATCAGCCGCGGCAATCCCTTTGCAATTGTCGTGCTCGTGTGCATCGCCGAGCTCTGCTCCGCATTCTTTCTCCTCTCCACCACCGCCACTGGAATCGGCGTCGTGTATGCAGTGACATACTCGATCGTTGTCTTCCTTCCCTACCTCGACGAGTCGCACCACGCTAGCATTGTCTCCCTCGCGTGGACTCGCGGCTACCAGATCTTTCTCGGCATCGCGGCGGCTCTCTTGGTCAATACGCTGGCGTGGCCCTACCACGCTCGAAGTAAGCTCTCGGAGCAGTTTTCACTCGCGACAATGGAGCTCCAGACGCTCTATCTCTCCCTCTCGCGCCAGCTCGTGCAAGGCGGGCTCGAGCCCTCGGCCGAGTCGGCGCGTGAGTTTGAGCAGCTCGAGCAAAACCTGCAATCCCGTTTCACAAAGGGAAGGGCGTTGGTGGGACTCATCAGCGCCGAAATATCTCTGGTCCCCAAACCGTTCCATTACTATTCAGATATCCTCACGCGCCTCCAGAGCATCAGCGATCAGCTAATGGGCTTGAGGCTCTGCCGCGAGCACGGCATGCGCTCCGTCCGCCGCGAGGCCATCCTCAATGTCCTTGACCTTCGCCGCGACTTTGTGAGTAATACTGCAGGGGAAGTGTTGGCCGCCGTGCTCAACGCCAGTGTCTTTGCAGATCTCATCGGTCCTCATTTGCTTTTGGGTGATTGGGCAGTCGCTCCGGAACCATACCCCACTCCCGCAGTTCCTGCCCTCCCCACGCGCCGCGCTACATGACCTCACTGCGGCGCTGCGCGCCCAAATGCTCGACAAGGACGACGCAGCAACGCAGTCAAGCGGTCTGGCGGCACTGCACCGCGCACACCTTGCGGGGCGCCCAGGATCAGTCGCATCCTTTCGGCTGCACCAGCGCGAAAGATCGAACACGAAACGCCCGCGCACGCTCAGGTCCGCTTTCTTTTTTCTGCTCGCCGAGCATGCCCTTCTCGCAGAGATGGTCGAGCAATGCGAAGCGCTCCTCGAACTCTGTCGCGCGCTGATGGGCGAAGCAACATTCATGGATACATCCTTTGTCCCCACTGTCACTCCGAACCATCTCCTCACCTCGTCCAGCAGCACTATGCACTCGATCCAAGCTAGCATCCTCGCAGACCTCGAGCGGGCGCGCCGTCCGCTCGCTGGAACCCACGCTGGAGAGATCGCACCACGCCCTGCTCACATCATCCCGCAATCAGCAAGCAAGCAAGCAGACAGCATGTAGCATAGCATAGCGCCACATAGATGGTAGTCGGTGGATTATCGATCAACAATATATGAATGGGTATCGCACCCCTCAATCTTTGCTTTCCTGCCTCTTGAAGTTGGCTGTGCCCAGGCGCGCTCCGTCGTCGACGGATTGAATGCCTCCGAGACGTCGCCGGCCGTGACTAGATGCATGCATGTTGTCACTCGCGACTCGTTACTTGAACGCGCAGAGGAGCTCGATCGCGTCTCTAACGACAACGCGACTTTGTGCAAAAGCCGATGCCAATTTGCCGGGCCGTCTGCGGATCATGACGAGCACCTCGCGGGCAGCGCCGCCGCTGAGCGTAGGGGCGGACTCATCGGAAATGCAGACGCCGCTCGTAATGCAGCTCATCGTCGATCGCAATTTGGCTTCCGTGCGTCTCGCACATGTCTCTTGGCCCCGTCTGGTGCAAGGCTGATGCCCCCAATTGCTATTCCCTTACTGCCGATACAGAGCCCAGACTGGGGAGTGGGTCCTTTGATGGCGCAGGCAGCGCATGCAGCAATGGCGGTGAGTAGCACCCCAACATACGCTTCGCGCGGCAATCCTCTGAGCGCAGATTCATTCATTCATATATCAGGTTGCCACCAAGACGGCAGCTCACCCTCTTACGCAAGAATACGTGTCCGCCCCTCATCTCATACATATGCACAAGGTCGTCCTCCAGAGCCCCGAAAAGCAGAGCCTCCAAGAATTATCCGCCAGGCTCAAGGCTTCACACGATACACTGGAAGGTTTAGAAAAGGAACGGTTTCCTGACCACTTTTTATGGATCGAACAGCCCGAGAATATCCCGACGGTTTTGGCCATCGCGCCGAACCGAAAGCCGCAGGTGAGCTTGGACGTAGTTGATAGTATCCTCTCAATGAGAAGCTAACGCCGAGCACATCTGCAGGCACTCAAGAAGATCCTCAACAAGTGCTCCTTACTCCGCGGTTGAGTGGGCGTCACGTATTTGGCCTGCCGACAGACCAATATGCAGCACAGCCATTCTCGATTGACAGCGAACAGCAGGCATTGACCCTCGCTCCACAGTCTCCCGGAACGTGTGCGGAGCCTCGATTTCCCAACATCGCTTCCGTGCGCTGGCAACCGTGCATCGGCAACCGTGCTCGCCACGGACGATCGCTGCACTACCTCCCCAGAAAAGGCGCAACAAATTGCAGAATTCTAGACCTTCTGGCTGCGCGCCTTGTTGCCGAATGAAGGCACCTCCGCTGATCCATCGAATGCAAATACATCGTCAATGTAATAGTACTGCCTCCTGATCTTGGACAGAAAGAACCCTTGCCGTGTGGATGCAAAGGCAGAGCGACGGCGGCGCGGTCACACTGCACACGGTACAATTATACAACCCAAATCAATCTACACAATACAACCAGCTTTCATGTTCCTGCTAGTTTCCACGGACGCTATCTCACAATCAAGAGAAGCGCAAGGAAAGGTTGTTCATGTGTCACGAATGCTGTCGACATCAGACTCTTTTGGCACCACCCCCACCCTTTGTCGCTGTGGGTGGGTCGCCTTGGTCTGCAGCCTGTGCATCGGTGGTAGAATGCTTGAGCTCGGCCTTCTGTCAGCTCCATCCGTGCATTGCTGGAGTTTCCGCCGCTTGCGGATCGTCAGACGACGAGCTCAACCCTGGTTGCAGCAAAATACGGAAATGATCCGCAAAACTAGGCGCTGAAATCAGTGGCAATGGCAAGGTGTAAACCCATAATAATTTCTGCATCAAACCGGGGAGAAACCACGGGTTCAGGTGATGTCCTCTAAATCTTGGCAGTTTCGGTCCATCCAACTTCAAACGGCGTGACGTCGTCAGGCTGCCCAGGCATCCACCAGATCACATCGACCTGTCAAACCGCCCAAAAGAGTCACATCAATCAGCTCGTATCTGCCTTTCGAATGGGATAGACCACGTCGCCCGCACGCACGTGGGACAAAGACTTGGGCTTGTGCCTGTGCGCTGCGCACAGCACCCTGCTCTGCCCGTGCAATGGTCGCAGAAGCACGGCAAGCGCTTCGATTGGCCACTCGCCGGTCACCCAGCGAATTTATTGGCTGGAACCTCACAAATGTACGACTGGCCTCGTCCCTTGCGCTAACGCCAATCCCGTCAAAGGCATGCAGGGCAAAGTTGCTGTGGTGGGAGCTTCGAAATGGGGCACGGGTGCCTTTCGTCCGCGGGCGGCGGCCTCAGCTGCAATCGCCACCCAAAGCAACCGTCGGCTCGGACGCATCACGTCAGGCTGCAGCATTCCATTCAAGCGCAAGGCGCCGCGCGCGGCCCCTTGACTTCTACAGCATCCTCGAGGTAGGAAAGGACGCGAGCCAGCGTGAAATCAAAATTTCATTCTACCAGGTACGTCCTCCCGCTATCGCCTGCGTGAGTCAGCCCTGATGGCATCCGACGAATGCATCTGTAGCTCTCCAAGAAATACCACCCCGACGTCAACCAAACCGATGAGAGCGCCAAGGCAAAGTTTCAACAAGTGTCTGAGGCATACGCTACGCTTGGTGACCAGAGGAAGAGGTACGTCCATCATACCGTCCTGCCATTGTTCAGGCTCTGTCATTGACATCTGACGCTCTCGGTGGTCAATACCTCTTTGTCCCTCTCAAAGGCGAGAGTACGACTCGAGATTGCGAGCCTCTTCGTCGCCCTCCGTACGCTCTTCAAGTGGAGGCTCTTCCTCTGGCTACGGCGCGGCCTCAGCATACCAGGGCTACACCTACGACCCCGAGGCGAATGCCAATCGCCGCGCGCGCGCATCCTACGCCTGGGACTATCAACGGCGACGGGCCGACTCAGTGCGCTCTGCACGCGGAGCCGCTCGTCACAGGCCATCGAAAGAGAGCGATGCGACCTTTTCATCGTCATCTTTCAATTCTTCCGCCCGAGGCGCCGCCGCAGCCGGCTTTGGGTTCGGGAACGGGGGCGTGGATACAAACACGGGCGACGCAGCTCGCTCGAAACTGTTCGAAGAGCTGGCTGCGCGGGAGCGGAGGAAAGAGCAAGCATTCTCCGCGCGTGGCTTTGGCTCCGGCTCGTCCACGGCGGGCTCCGCGGCTGGAAAGAAAAATGAAGGCAGCGGCTCTGGACCTGTCTGGCGGTTCATACAGGTCGCAGGCGTCTTTTGGATCATCATCATGATAGGCAACAAGGTCTCACATAAGGACAGCGCCGCCAATCATCGGCGGTCAGAGAAGAGGTAGCTGGCTGTCCCTGCATTCTTTTAAATGTATAGATAGTTGCGTGGATCAGCTGGCAATTCGAACATGCATTTTAGACATGTCAGAAAGGCGAGAGTAGTTACACGGATAGAATGCATTCCAATCACAAGCGCTACGATCGGCAATTGCGCCTTCGTACGCAATGCCGACGCGGCTTATCTCACGATGCCAAGCATGCGATTCTTGCAGAAGCTGCGGCGCGACAGCCCTCGCACGGTTCTGCATTGCCTCATCGGAACGAATGGACGCGCGGCCGAATCTGCTTTATGTGGTGTTGCCCGTGCGTGGCCCCGCGAACATGGCGAGTTACGAGGGGGTCGCTCACATTAACGAGTGGTAGAGACGCGCAGCGGTTTGCCTGTGCCGACGCGCACATCGCGCCCGGGCCGGTACATGTAGCGTGAGTCTGCCTCGATATAGATTGCTGCAAAGTCGCCCGCGTCGAGCCGACAAAGCAAAAGGCCCCAAAGCAGAATGACGAGTACCCTGCAGCGGGGTACGCACATATGCGCACGTTGACTCGGCATGGCGCGAAACGGGAACGAAATGTCTTGATCGCATCATATGCGAGATTCTCGAAAGTCAGATCATCCTCCGAGGATATCCTTGACGCGCTTGTCAAAGCTCTCGACTCGGATGGGCATTTCTGGCGTGTAAAATGGGTTCTTGAGGACTTGGTCAGCGTATACCTCGTATGACTTGTGGAGAAGGACCGCAGGCGCAACGGGATAATCCGATGGGGTGATCAGGACAAGTTTGATGCCTGGAGAAACCATTATGCAGAAAAGGGCAAGCAGGGTTACCATGCCGGCAACCAGATCTTTACCCGGAAAGATGGGGAGCCTCACCCGTAGCGGTAGCCATGACGTTCATGTCAAAGCCATTTGCCTGCAGCTGCTGCATTCCAGTATCCACTCTGGCTCTCCGAGCCGCGGCGCCTTTACCACCTCCCAGTCCAGCTACAGGCGACAGCTTGGCGGTGATGGCGTGAATGCCGTGCAGCGTGCCGGCGAGGATGAGGTAGTCGTTCGAGGACAGGCCAGTGGGCCGCTTTGAGTAGTCGGCATTGTAGATCAGGCCCCCGGCCTTGTTGATGATCCAGAGCGACGCCATCTTTCCCGCGCGACACGTCTTGCCCGACAAACAGCAAGGGTCGGGCGGGCCCTCTTGAGCGCGGATGGTATGCTGATTGTAGTGGCCAGAACTAGCAGTCGTCCTTCCATCCAAGACACACGGTCAAGCGGTGCATGCTCGAGGGCGCAACTCGAGCTGCAATCCGAGGCAGTGGGATTTACATGTTTAATAGCACAGGTGCCAAGACAGACACATTTGTAAATCCACGCTTACCGCGACCCGCTGCACGACAAAAAGAACTTCTCGAGGCGATTGTCGGCTGCCTGACAATTTTGTGTGCTCATTGCTCAGAAAACCGCACGGGGATCCTTACTGCAGTCCTCCAACGTGTTTGCCTTACGACCAGTAAAGACGAAGAGGCGAGTTCGGGCTCAAGTGCATGAATACGGAAGCACAAGGTCTAGACCTATTTTTTGCTGCGAGATGGTTGCAAACAATATGCGAATCGTCGCCATCGTCGACGCATCCTTCGAAGAGCAGATCCAGGAAGTAGCAGCGTTCTTCTCTCGCTCGCGGCCAGAAGCCGAGCGTGACGAGTTTATTGCTTCGTTCCAGCCCAAGAGCAGCGCAGCATCAGCCGAATCAACAGCAGCAGCGGAAGCCAAAGATGGGAGTGAGCAGCCCAAGGAGGACGCAGCGCAGCAGGTTCCGCTGGACGAGCGACGGGCGCTCATAGAGAAGTTGGTCGCTGAGATCAAGGATGCCGGGGAAGGGAGCGACAAGGGTGGGTGCAGTTCATTTGCAAGCTGCTTCCCACTGCACTGTTCGCTGACTTGCTGTTTCTGTGAAAGCAGACGTGGAAGGCGCACACAACCTGCTTGTATCTCTGATCGTTGACGCGTTTGAGGGGGAGGAGGGCAAGGAGTCCGAGCTCCTGTCCAAGATCATCTCCGTGTTGAGCAAGACTGGGAGTGCGGAGAAGAACGCGGTCAAATACCGAGTGTGAGCATCGGTCCTAAAAGGAATTCTCCGGGCCTGGCTGACCTCTCGTATGAAAATTGGTCAGGCTGTCAAACATCTTCAACTTCCTCCCCCCCACCTCGCCCCTTCGGTACACCACTTTTAACGCTCTTCTCACTTTTGCTGCGTCGAACGACGAGCTCGAGCTGGTGTCACCCTCGCTCTTGCTCCTCCCGCAGTGGCTCGCTCAGTGGCAGATCAGCGAGGCGCAAAAGGAGCAATGCCTCGCCTCTGTCTCCAAGGTTCTCAACGAGAACGGCGGCGACGGAGAGGACCAAAAGAAGGCCTATGGCTTCCAACTACTCTACCTCCGGTTCCTCTCCTCGCAGCAGACGTCCGTGGAAAAGGCCAAGGAGGTCGCCGAAAAGGTGATCGCAGATGCGATCCGGTTGCCATCCATCTTCGACTTTGAAGAGCTCGCGCAGATCCCGGCGGTACAGGCTTTGAAGGGGTCACCCGCCGGCGATTTGCTTGCCATCTTGACTGAGGGAAGTGCTGCAGACTTAAAGACTTGGCTCGGAAACAACAAGTCGGAGGCACAAAGGCTGAGTGAGTGCATTGTTTCGACCGGCACTAAGCCCTTGATGGTCCGCCCGCTAATACATGCGCACCCATGCGTTGCAGATATTCCTGAAGCGGAGCTTGACCGGAAAGCCAGGCTTCTGGACCTCGCGGGGTTGTGTGCTCAGAGCGTTTCTAAGGAGATTACGTACGAGCAGATCGCAAAGACCGTAGGTGTCAGCGAGGAAGACGTCGAGCTATGGGTCATTGATGGTCAGTTGCAAGAACCTGCACCCTTACAGGACTGTCTATGCTGACGCCCAACCCCTCTGTCACCTTCAACCTCAGTCATTCGCGCCGGCCTTGTGTCTGGCAAGCTGTCGCAAGTCAACAAGAGCTTCCGCGTCTACCGGTCTACGCATAGGACTTTTGGTAAGGAGCAGTGGCACGCGCTCGAGGAACGTCTGGTTGAATGGCAGTCGGCCATCAGCAACATTCTCGGCACGCTCAGCAAGGCACGACCCGCCGCGGCGGCAAGCGCCTCTGCCACCAAAGGCGCACCGGCTCCCGGGCAAAACGCTGCGTCGAACGGCGAGCGCATTTCTGTAGCATAGCTGCGTCGCATACATAATGGGACGCCATGTCTTGGGAGGAAGTTGGGTCATTAAATGCCGTCAAAAACACTACAGTCTCTTGCGGATGTCCGCTCAACGCGAAGATAGAATCAGCAATATGAGTGTGAATGTCCGTATGGATTTTGTCGTTGATGGTCCGTCACGCATGAGCGCTCCTGCAAACGCGTTCAAACTCCCTTGCCAGCTGCTTCCGCAGCGCCTTCTTCTCGGGCTGCTGCCGAATCCTAGAGTCAGAGAGCAACAAAAGCTTTTTGACGCGGACTAGCAGGCCGCGTGGGCCTTCCAGTGGTATGTCCATGAGGTCGTAGCGTCTCACGTACATTTCAAACTTTTGCAAGTCTTCTTGAGACAGTTCGCGCCTCAGGCGGCTGTAGATCTGCCGATGCTCGACGAGCTCGTCATGCGTCAGAGGCTTGGAGACGTGCGAGCCCGATGAGTCTTCTTCTGACGTGGGGGCAGAAGGCTGCTGTGCGTGCTCGGTACGGTCGCCAGGCGGCGATAGGGTCTGCACATTGACGCCGCGGTCCACTAGTGGCATCCACAGCTCTTGCTCAGAGGGCTCGTATAGCGGGGTGCTTACCAGCGGGCCATAGGGCAGGAAGCGGCTCTGGTACAGGTCCGCCGCATCGACAATGGTGGGCGACTTGGCGCATTCATTGCTGCTGTTGCCGCTAATGTTCGACGTCAGCTGGCTGGTGCTCGCGAATGCACTGACATTCTCGCTGGCATCGGGCGAAAAGAGATCGTCCTTGTCCTCAGGAATGTAATCGTGCAAACTGCTCGCTCGGCTGGACGGTCGAGTCCGACCTCCGACGCGCGAGTCCGCAGCCGAATGGTTGCTCAGGCGAGAAGTTGAACGCGAAGGTGGATTGGAAGCAGAGGTGTTTGCAGACCGCAGCTGCTGCTGTTGTTGTGCCTGCGCTTGCGGCTGCTGTTGCTGAGCCGGTGCAGACTCTCTGCGGGCATGTTTGCGCTGGTCCACGTAGCTCTGCAGGAACTCTGTGACGCCAATCTGGTGTTGAGCTTCAGAAATGCTCTCCCTTTTCGGCTCTCCGGGCAAGATGGCAGCGCTGTCATCCGAGCGCTGGCTCCGATCCCAGGATTTGCGCTGCAAGCCCCTGCGTTTCTGTTGTGTAGACGACGCAGCCTTGGAAGTGCCGAGCACATGGCCGTCGACGGAAGGCGCGCGCTGATGCGATCCCCATACTGGCGGGGGATCCTGTTGGGACGTTGACGCGACGGGCCGGTTCATGGCGTGCAGCTTGGCATGATGCTGCGACTCAAGCATGCTGAGCGCTTTGCTCGTGATACCCGAAAAGGTCGCGACAGACGGAAGCGGCGCAGACGCAGGGGCTTGCATGCCGTTCTGCTCGTGGCAACGCCAGGACGAAAGGCGGTGGCTGTTCTCGCCATGGGCAGCTGCTGCGTCGCGGTGCGCGGCATCCTGCGCAAGAACTTCCGCAATGCTGACCGTACTGTCGCTCCTGCGGTGCGGATCACGCCACCGGTTCTCTGCCGCTGTGCGAAGCATGCTTCCGCCGCCGCCACGGGATGAAGAGCGCCGTGGAGCGCAACTCATGTCAAGGTTGCTCGCGATGGCCTGCTCCTGCAGGCGCCGATGGTCCTCGTGTGCCTGTGCGAGCATCTGCTGCAGCGGCGCAGGCAGTGCGGTGTTCACGAGCGATGCGGGCGCTGCGGGTGCGCCCTCCACGGCGCTGCTGCCGTACGAGTCGGTCCCGTGGAACGTGCGCGCAGAGCCAGAGCGGCTGGCGCGGAGGGCTCCATTAGCGCCGCTGTCCTCTCCCGTCGGCGAAAAGAGCGCCGAGGATAGGGAGGACGACTGGTGGATGATGGAAGTTGGTTGCTCGCCCGAGCTTGGCGCCGACGGCAGATCACGCAGAATGCCGCCCACAAAGTGCTGATCCCGTTCGCTGAGCGAGATGTGCGCTTCGAGCTCCGAAACGCGCTTCTGCGTCGACTTGACCATCTCTTCCCAGGTCCAGGCCTCGTCGCGCACGGTTCGCAGTTGCGCTTGCAGGTCCGTGACTTTTAGCTCATAATTGGAGCTCATATCCCGTAGCAAGCGGTTCTCCACTTCGAGCGCCTCGGCTTGCGCGCGGAGCTTGGCAGAGTAGCGCTCCCAGTTCTTGCACTTGGCCGCCAGTTCGTAATACTTGGCACTGAAAGCCTCTTTCAGAGCCTCGATGCCGACCTGCGATTGAAGCGCGTGCACAAGCAAGTCAGTCTCAGCGCGGTGATCAGGAGAGAGAGAAAGAAGGGAGCGTGGCGTTGCGTTGCGTGTACCCACAGGTCCGTCGAAAGACTCATAGGAGCTCGAAGTCCGGATGTGATTGCGCGAAATGCTGTCACTGCCGCTGCTAGGCTTGGCACTGCTCCAAGGAGACAATGATATGGATGACACTGGCATGCTCAGATCCTGCTGAATCGGGGCAAAATGCATGGTGGTGGCTGGGCCGTGAGAGGCATGCATTTGCGTTGGCACGTGCTGTGGCTGCGAGCTAGTGGCGATGCTGACCGTTGTGTCCGACGAGCCCATGGAGGATGTGCTGGACAGCAGCAGACTAGACGAGCCGCCGATGCTGCTAAACGAGGTCATGCTGCTGCTCCCGCTCGCCGTCGTCTCTGCACGACTGCGGTCATTCGATGGCTGCGCCGCCGCGGCCGCCTCAACGGAGTTGCCGGCAGGGTGCTCGCCAATGCTACTCAAGGCGACATCATCGCCGCCGCTGTGCCCACGATATCGCCTGCGAGGCAGCGCGTCTTCTACCTCGTCTTCCTCCGCGTCTTCAGCATCTTCTCGCCCTGCACCAGCTTGGTTGCTCGTCATGCCAGTTAAGAGCGCATCGGAGGGTACGGGCCCGTGCTGGAGCTGGCTGGCTGTGCTCGTGCTGGGGTCGACGACGGAGCCGGTGTGCTGGCGGTGATGTTGGTGATGCCCCGAAAAGGCAGACGAGGAGGAAGCGCTTTGCATACTGATCGCGGAAGCGAGGGACGAGTTGGAGGCGAATCTGCTCATCACCTTCTGAGCGACGCTTGCCGCACCGGAGGGCGGAGCGGACGCGGATCCGGACACGGCTTGTTTGGAATGTGCTGTGCCTTTCGATGGCATTGCTGCTCCTGCTACCGGGGCAGACGACGGCGGAGAGCCGGCCTTGGGACGCTGCTGCGACGCCTGCGGCTGCGGGCGCTGCTGCGCTGCGGCAAGGAGTGCAGGCGCAGAAATGGACGGCTGGACGCTGCCTGCGCCATCTGCCTTGCGAGCGCTGACGATCAGCGGCGGCTGGCTGGCAGAGACCGAAGCGAACAGGGGAGCGGGCGCAGAACCAGAAACTGAAGCAGCTTCGCGCTCCTTTTCGCGCTCGCGCTCGCGGCGGAGTTGAGCACGCAACTCAGTGTTGGCACCTGCTGCGCTGCTAATGCCATTGGTGATGCGACGGAGGGTTGGAGCATGTGCGTGCGCAGAGGTCGACGGCGGTGCGGCGCTACCCGCCACGGTGCTCTCGTTGATTGGAGCAGACGTCAGCGTCATGATGGTCGGAAACGAAAGGTGGTGGGGGTGCCGCGTCGTCGCAGTCGCCTGGCGCTCAGGTCGCCCTGCTCACAGTCATAAAATCAAGCAACAGCAGGCGTTGAGCGCATCGAAGAGTGGAAGAATGAGTGGGCCAACGCTGATTGTGGGCGCTATCGTGCAAGTGTGGGTATCGTCCTCCCTGTGAGAGCGCAGCGAGCTGCAGGTATCGGATAGCAGAAAGGACAAACCAAGGCGATCGTCAGGACGGCGAGCTTATAAGAAGCAAATGCTATGTGCTTAGTAGGAGAAGGACAAGGGTAGGGAAAGCGTACCTTGTGACGATGCTAGAGAATGCCAAGCTGGCGTTCTTGGGCGATCCCACCGTTGCATGCGCCGAATGCTTGTAGTGTTGAACTTACAGTGCGAGTCACGAGAAAGGATAAAAACGCCTTTCGTGTCTCGTGCTGCCAGCTGCACACCGATACATACGAAGGTGTGTATGATGGTGCGGTGTGCTGTCAATTGTGAGAGAGCAGCGTGGAGAACTCAGAAACCCAAATCTGAAGGCGAATCGTCCCGGTGCACAATGCACACAGCAGCCGAAGAGGCGAGTCGTGCTTTTACTTCTGCTGCTTGCGTGTGTGTGTCGTGTATCCTGTGTATAACTCCCGGAGGGCTCCTCTCCAGGCCTAGTCGATCTCTTCTCGACTGGGCGATATCTTGTTAAGCTGAATAAGTGTGCAAGTGTCTTTTCTCCGACTAACTGGGCGCAAGCTCATCGTTGGTCTCTGGTCGCGAGAAGACGTTGTCGTGGGATTTTTCCAGCCTCGCCGATATCCAGCGTTGGTTTTCTTTGTCGAGTATCGTATGCGCACCGCTGCCTTTCTGTCTGCACACCTTATTAGTGGGTTCTCTGTGTATGTGGGTGTCTATCAGTAGAGTGTGTGTGTGTGCTTATCCTTGCCTCTTTCGTCGTTCCGGGCTACCGGATTTTCGGGGCTCCGCAGACGACGGATAGCGCGTGCTGGGAGCGGATGTATATAGGCCCAAACGCAAAAGCATGCACGCTGGGAATGGTTGCATATAAGCTGCAGAACACCAATTGATGCGCAGCGTTCCTGTGTGAGAGTGTATATATGTAGGTACGCTTCCTAGGGGCGTGTCACGCGGGGGTGTGTGATGTGGAGTTCGGACTTCGCTCGTTCAATCACAGCGTGGTGACGTGACGATGGGTGAGCCATTCATGGGTGCGCTTGCTCTCTCCACGCTTGCACAGCATCAAGAAGGGAATCGCTCGCGTTGGTCGTACAAGCAATGGATATCTGTGCGTGTGACAAAAGGGGTTCATCGGATGGAGGAGTGAATGTACAGGATGGTCAAGAGAAGTGTGCACAGGAGTGGCTGGGGTGAGATCCCAATGAGATGGTTTCTCTCCATGTCGTCGGTGTGTTGTACTGTTCATCCCTATATCATACGCCCATCTTGTGTACAGCATGTGCTACGTACTGCCTACAGAGGGCGTACTTGACCCGAATATCCATTATAACTCCGGGGTTCTTCCGCCCAAGCGAGACTCGTCGCGACCGCGCGGCCACGAGAGCAATGGTCACTTGGAAATTGGAGAGTCATGGTGATGCTGCGCCTGCAAATGCATACTCCAACAAAAGTGAGATGCCTGCGACGACGACGATGCGAAAGGTGTGCATGTCCACATGTACTTGATTTGCGTTCTCTCATAGCTTCTCCAAAGAGAGCCGAGACTGGCCCGCGTTCTCATTCGCTGCGTTCCACTTTCCGACAGCTTGCATACGCTCGCAAAAAATTGCTATGCGTGGCGGTCTGCAAACTCTGTGCAGTGTGCGCCACGCCGGATGCACGATGCATGCTGCGAGTTGATGACACGACCGGACGCGGCGTCGGAATGATCGCGGCTTGAATCGCGAACGGGTGTCTGTGCGCTTGCATCTGCATGTGCATTGTTGTGCATCTGCTGTTCTTCTCTCTTCTGCCTCCCCGCCTTCCAGCCGCAAGACGAAAAGAAAGAACTCACGGGACAATCAGGTGCTGTTCGACAATTTGAGATGATCTGGGGCACCATCCGCCAATGCCTTTGCTCTCACGGTTGCTGGCTGCAGCCAGTCCCCGACGCGAGCCTCTTCTCCTAGAGACCATCTCATCAGTAGGTTCGCCTTGGCAATATGATGGCCTTTGCACTGTCTCACAGATTTCTTTGGTGGATGACCGCTTGCAAAAAAACAAATCATATCACACACAAGATCACATATCACAGTGATGATAAACTCGTCACAGAACAAAGCATCACAAGAGTATCACTCGACTCACCCACTGCTGCTCGGCTCCGGCGCCCGATGTTCGTGTGCTTTGGTTTGGGTGGGGGGTGTCGAGGGGGACAAGGCACATGAAGAGTGTGTGATATAGTCACTTCTCAGCTTGCGTCTGGAAACAAACATATGTCGATCTTGCCACTGGGTATAGTTAGTCATATAGATCAATCACACTGCGTCCTGGTGCCCCGCTCATCTCATCACTGTAACAAGCACCAAAATGGGGTGGGTTGCGGATTGAAACCGCGTCGCATATGAGGGGATTCTAGTGTTGCGGCACGCCGGAGTGGCACATGTCAGCACACTATGAGGCATCATTCGCGTATGTAATGCGTCGGGTCGTTAGGGTTACTGCAAGGATGCGCGTTGCGGTAGCATCACTCTTCTATGTGGCTGCCAACCAGGTCAGTTGGTCGTCACTCTCACTGTCAATTG